CTGGTCCCGCCCCTCCCAGCCCAGCCCCGTCCTGACCGGCCCTGCCCCTCCCTCTCTGGTCGCGACCGGCCCCGCCTCGCCGCGGCCGGCCACGCCTCCTAACGCCGTGTCCTCCTCATGCCCCTTCCTCCTGTCGCCTGGAGGACGGTCCCAGGCGGCCCAGTCTCTGGTCTTCCCTTTCCCTCAGTCTTGTCGGAGTTGACAGCTGGTCCCATGGAAAGGACAACCTTTACTGCGTTGACTTACTGTTTGTCATTTTGAAATATCTTCCTTCTTAGTTCCCTAACTGGGAACTTGGCCCAAATGTGTGCAAAATAAAAGATTCTTTTAAATTTATGCGAGTGTCATATTGGAGCCTCGATAGTGCAATCAACTGCTAACATAAGGGTTGGCAGTTCAACCCAACCGGCGGCTCTGGAACAAAGTCCTAGAGATCTGCTTCTGTAAAGATTACAGCCAAGAAAAGCGTATGGAGCAGTTCTACTCTGTAATACTCTGAGTTGCCATGAATTGGAATCTACTGGATGAAAGTATGGGCGAGTGTCAAATTACACCCTGAGGCATTTCCCTAGAGTAGTGTTGTTGTTAGTTGTCATTAGTGGTCTCCAACTCGCGGCATCTTACATGTAACGGAACTAAACATTGCTGTCCCTCAGTCATCTTCATGATCCTTGGTATGTTTGAGTCTTTTGTTGCAGCTCTTATGTCAATCCATCTCATCAAGGCTCCCTAGAGTAACCTCGCGTTACCTCAGTCACAACCTGCCGTATGCAGATGGCACAACATTGCTTGCTGAAAACAAGATCAAAGACTGCTGCAGCCTTCAGTATGGATTACACCTCAACACAAAGAAAACAAAAATCCTCACAACTGCACCAACAAGCAACATCATGATAGAGAAAACATTGAAGTTGTCAAGGATTTCATTTTACTTGGATCACAATCAGCGCCCACGGAAGCAGCAGCCAAGACATCAAATGACATATTGCATTGGGCAAACCTGCTGCAAAAGACCTTTTTAAAGTGTTGAAAAGCAAAGATGTTACCTTGAGGACTAAGGTGCACCTGACCGGAGCCATGGTATTTTCAGCCGCCTCATATGCATGTGAAAGCTGGTCAATGAATGAGGAAGACTGAAGAATTGATGCCTTTGAATTATGGTGCTGGTGAAGAATATTAAATATACCATGGACTGCCAGAAGAACGAAAAAAATCTGTCTTGGAATAAGTACGGCCTTAGAAGCAAGGTGTCTCACATACTTTGGGCATGTTATTAGGAGGGACCAGTCACTAGAGAAAGATATCATGCTTCGTAGTATAGAGGGTTAACGAAAAAGAGGAAGACCCTCAAAGAGATAGATTGACACAGTGGCTGCAACACTGAGCTCAAACATAGCAATGATTGTGAGGGTGGTGCAGGACAAGGCAGTGTTTCATTCTGTTGTACAGAGGGTTGCTATGAGTCTGAAGCGACCAACAACATACCAACAACAGAGTCATCTGCTCCTTTTATTACATTCCAACCAGAATAACAGCCAGAGTCTCCAGGAAATGCTTAAGTGGTGCAAAATTCATTCCACAAATATTTTACATCTCCCATGTGCACAGCACATGCTACATCCTGTGGAACATATAAAGACTGATAATTATGTGAGTTAATGTTTGCAAAGCAGTTAGAACAGTGCCTTACACTTAGTAAGCGCTGCAAATACATGAGACGCCCTACAAGGGGCTTATGATGTAGTGGGTGAGATAAGACTCACAGGAGGAAATCACGTATATAAAAAATTAGTATGATTTTAAGGTGACCTGATTATATAGAAGCAATGAATGCTTAAGAGTTAATAAGAGTGATATCTTTGGACTGGAGTAACTAAACACTTCATTTATGAGGTGAACCGTAGCTGGGCCGTGAAAGGGGAAGTATTTTAGAAAAATAAATCTTAAATTAGAATTGGAAAATAAGATTTTTCCCAGTACATTTTGTCCGTCTCTTGGAAACCCATCCTCAAGAATATGTGTTAATCCCAAAATTTTCTTATCTCCTATTTCAATTAATGTTATCTCTTGTCCCGTGTTAAACACTTCTGTGATTGAGCCTAAGAAACTGTTGATAATTACAGACAAGATTGTTCCCTATTTCCTCTGAAACCTTAAAGGGAGCAAATCCTGAGCTCTGCTTGGCCAAGAGTTAGAACTAATTAACCCAAATCCATTGCAAATCCTGAGCTCTGCTTGGCCAAGAGTTAGAACTAATTAACCCAAATCCATTGCTGTCAAGTGGATTCTGACTCATAGTGACCCTGTAGGACACAGTAGAACTGCCCCACAGGGTTTCCAAGACTGTAAATCCTTTCTCCCACACCGGGCTGGTGGGTTTCGACCGCCAACCTTTTGGTTAGCAGCCAAACTTTCAACCACGGCCCCCCTAGGGCTCCTTAGAATTAATTAGTCATCAGTTAATAGCTTTTGAGTTGATGAGAAAACATTCTGGTTTAGCTGACATTTACCTATCTGAACATTACTCAAAGTGATACTCTAAACCTACCAAACAGCTATTTTTCTCTAGGTATGTAGCCACACACAAAGTTATGAGAATATTGAGCTGAACTCAGACTCTCCAAACTGTGTATATAGCTAAGGCAAAATTGTTTTTTGTTTTTTCTTCTTGAGTTGTATCTCCATTTACCTGTGTGGTCTGTTTGTATGTGTGAGTGGAAATGAAATTTACTTACTCTGAGAACCCAAATGTAGCACTGTCAAACTTTTCATGTGCTTGGAAATAAACTTCCACTGGGTTACGGTCTCAGAATTTTATTTTAGTCAAATTTTCCACACAGGATGCTTTTTACTTTTAATTATGTGTAAATTACCTTGTGTCACCCTAGATGCTTTGAATTGCAAAAACAAGATTTGAATCTCTTCTTAATCAATTTATTTTTGCATACCCATAGTAAAGTTGGCACTCAACACAATCTGTAAAAATGCTCCAACAAAATGTGTCATCAAGAAAACTGATTATATGTGTCTGTGGTTTTTTCCACTTCATGAGGACAGAGCAATGAGAATAGAAAGAAACTATAGTAGGGAATAAAATGTTGATTTGTGCTTTTGTAGATTGTAAATAGTCACTGTAACACAAAAGAGTAACAGCAGAAAACAGTTTAAATGGTGGATAATTGTAACCAGGTAAAATTGTGAAGCAAAAGTATTTGTCTTCAATGCCTTCCACATACCTGTCTCCCCATGTGATAACTGATGACTACCAGTTGCTCCAGCCTTCCAAAACAGCCAACAGGACACTGGGTTCCACCCAGGCTGTGGCCCCCAGTGCCTATGCCCACCCTTTTCTTTAGCTTGTTTGGTACCTGACTCAGGCTGCTCTTTTAGAGAATCCAGTTCCCAGTTACCATCCCCTACACCCTTTTACTTCATATTTCCTGACAACAATCTTAGTCCACTTCCCAGCAACCCTCTTTGCCACCTGCTGAATTCTAGCTTCCCAACATTGCTACATGGATGTCAGAAGAGATTCTGAAACTGCTCTTGAACATGAAGTAGCTAAAGTGAAAGGAAGAAGCGATGAAGTAAAAGAGCAGAACAGAAGATTTCAAAAGGCGGCTCAAGAAGACAAAGTAAAGTATTATAATGAAATGTGCAAAGACCTGGAGTTAGAAAACAAAAAGGGAAGAACACGCTTGGAATTTCTTAAGCTGAAAGAACTGAAAAAAAATTCAAGCCTCAAGTTACAGGGAAAATACTGAACAATGCAGGAAGCATCAAAAGAATATGGAACAAATACACAGTGTCACTGTACCAAAAACAATTGGTCAACATTCAAACATTTCAGGACGTAATATATGATCAAGAACCTATGGTACTGAAAGAATTCCAAGCTGCACTGAAGGGAATGATGAAAAACAAGTCCCCAGGAATTGATAGAATATCCACTGAGGTGTTTCAATAAAGGGATGCAGCGCTAGAAGTGCTCACTCATCTATGCCATGAAATTTGGAAGACCGCTTCCTGGCCAACTGACTGGAAGAGATCCATATTTGTGCCCATTCCAAAGAAAGGTGATCCAACAGAATGCAGAAATTATTGAACAATATCATTAATATCACACACAAGTAAAGTTTTGCTGAAGATCATTTAAAAGCAGTTGCAGCAGTACAATGACAGGGAACTGCCAGAAGTTCAGGCAGGATTCAGAAGAAGATGTGGAATAAAGGATATCAATCCTGATGTCAGATGGATCTTGACTGAAAGCAGAGAATACTAGAAAGATGTTTACCTGTGTTTTACTGGCTATGCAAAGGCATTCAACTGCGTGGATCATAACAAATTATGGATAACATTGTGAAGAATGGTAATTCCAGAACACTTAGTTGTGCCCATGAGGAACATGTACATAGACAAAGAGGCAGTCACTCGAACAGAAAAAGGGGCTACTTCACTGTTTAAAGTCAGGAAAGGTGTGTGTCAGGGTTGTATCCTTTCACCATGCTTATTCAGTCTGTATGCTGAGCAAATAATCCAAGAAGCTGGACTATATGGAGAAGAACGAGGCATCAGGATTGGTGGAAGACTCATTAACAACCTGTGATATGCAGATGACACAACCTTGCTTACTGAAAGGGAAGAGGATTTGAAGCACTTACTGATGAGGATCAAAGACTACAGCCTTCAGTATGGATTGTATCTCAACATAAAGAAAACAAAAGTCCTCACAACTGGCCCAATAAGCAACATCATGATAAATGGAGAAAAGACTGAAGTTGTCAAGGCTTTTGTTTTACTTGGATCTACAATCAACACCCGTGGAAG